TAAAATACCCCTGCTTGAGCCTGAATCTCTAAAAGAAAGAATTTTATCAGAGGGTATCCCAAAATAGTCGCAGACAAGTTAAAACTATCGTGTCCTTCGCTATATATAAGAGGGAGAGGTACTATTTAAAAAGAAATCAGAAAAGCATTCGTTAATTAATGGCAACTTAATTGGCATTTCTATATTCAGTCTATGTTAAAAGAAACTCTGCAATGCAGTTTCACCTAGGGAGGATGGCAAGACAATACCAAGATATTTTCGATCCCCTCGAATGCGCCTGAAAAAAACGCGCCTGACGAGACATAAATTCGATGTTCTTGTTCATTCCAATATATTCTACAGAAAAAGTAAGTAAACATGTGCTTCATTGTACCGTTTTGATAGCAAATCACGTTTTCTTCCAATTTTATCTTCAACAAAAAAATCTTCTGATTCATGGATAACGTTGAGCCCGACCTGCCATTGCAATTGGCGTTTAGGGGTTTACATCTACAAGCTGCTCACTTTCTGTGTAAGGAATTGTACACATCCCTCTGTGCCATTAAGATTATACTATATAGTGTCCACGTAATTTTAAAAATGTTTTGGCTATGTTACGCTCTTCAGGAGAGCATTTATAAGAAGACAAATACGACGCTAATCGAATGAACATTAAACGGTCTTGAAGGTGTCAGAATTGGGAAGGTGATTGGTTAAAAACGAGTACAAGAAAGAATAATTTTTCGCCTTCGTTTCTTTAAAATATATTTTAATTTATAAAGGCATCCAAAAACAATAGAAGACAACAGACTACTAAAGTATTAATGTTGTAATTGGTGTATGCGATATAAACTGCATGGATCCAAAAGCGACTATTTTGGCGTATCCGAAATATCATAGGATGCGTGTTGCTGGAGTTTGGATACAAAAGTTTGTTAAAGCAAGCTTTTTCATCGAAGAATGCATTTTATAATTTCAATTAGAATTTCATAAAATGTAAGTTCTTCTAAAAATCAGCCTTGCTTTTTTAGCCTAAAGGTATCCGAAAATATGTTTACCTTCAGCACACGAATTTATCGCTCCCAGGAAATAGACAACCAAAACAAATATTTATTTTGTTTTGCATTAAGCTGCCCTTTAAAACATGCCGCGGTTGACATGCAATACATAACTTTGTGAAGCGAATATTTTAGCTTTGCTAAAAATTGTTAATTTTAAGGGCAAAAAAGTGAAAGACAGTCTGTCCGAATTGAAACTATACAATGCATAGTTGATACGCACAACATTACAAGCGTCAGTTCAGATAGTTTAAGGTCTTTGGTGTCTGGAATCCCAAAAACAGCACAAGGTTATACGACCACGGGGCTGCCCTGACCAGGCCGCTGACGCCTTAATAAAAAAAAGCAATGACAGCCGAATTGAGTGCTGAGTCAGTTTCTTTAATGTTCTGGGTTGCAGAAAACCAATTCGGGAATAGCTTCCAGTAACCTGTCTCTGTTAACATCTATAAAACAGATGGGATAGCGTCCTACCCTTGTATACATACTTTGTTTACCTGTTTAATCAAGAATTTTTTGCACGTCTACATAGTAACTCGAAACAAATGCCAATAATTTGGGCGCATAAAGTACGTCGTTAGGGATAATGGTAAGAAAAAAAACAAAGAAAATTTAGACCGAGTATGAGGTGAAAATGTTAATGCATTATGGAAACTATTCGGGCATAATGTCTTACACTTTGATTTCGTCATTTACGAAGTAGTCTGAACAATCGAGGTGTAAACAATATGCATATATCGAACCCTGTATATATCGAC